TACAAATACCTCTTAGGCTGACTACTGACTTCTGACTTTTTTCTTCAAGCCCATGCTCAGTCACAGAATGACAGAATTTTAGAGTAGGAGGGGATCTCAGAGGCCACTTGATTCAGCCCATACCCCCTGATTTCACCTGCATAAAAATGGCAAAGACTTTCTGATTTTCCCAATCACCCCCTGGCCACAAAACCTCTTAAGCGAAATTCTAATTCTAATTATCCTTAGAGTTGGGGAAGCCAATGGCTATCTTGATCTCTTATGTAAAGCCACATTTGTTGTTTCAATATGTTGGATTTATTTAGATGTTAAAGGTCTTTTTTCTGGCATAAGGTTTCCCTTAGGCCCTCTCCACTTCTTAAAGAAAAGTATTTCAGTCAGTCTATAAGCATTTATTATGTACCTACCATATGCCAGGCATTGTGCTAAATGCTGGAAATACAAAAAACAAGGCAAAATCAGTCCTATTTTCAAGGATCTCACAGTCCAATAGGGGAGATAACATTCAAATAACTATGTAGGAACAAATAAATTGGAGATCATCAAAAGAGGCAAAGCGTTTGCTTACAAGGAGATGAGAAAAGCTGCCTACTAAAAAACAATGGAGAAGATGGGATTTTAGCTAGGAGCTGTGGGGAATCAGGGAAGCCAGGAGATGGAGATGAGGAGAAAGAACATTTCAGTCATGGAAAATAGCCAGTGAAATTGCTTGGAGTCAGGAGATGGTTTAACATGCTCAAGGGACAGCAAGGATACTAGTGTGTCTGTATCACAGAGCACATGAGGGGGAATAAGATGTAAGAATATTGGAAAGGTAAGAAGGAATCTGGTCATGAAGAGTTTTAAAAAATAAATAGAAGATTTTATTTTTTTTTATTCTGGATGCAATACAGAGCCACTGAAGTTTATTGAAAAGGGGTGGGGGAGCTTATGGGTAACAAATCTTGTTGAGCCTCAGTTTCCTCCCCTGTAAAATGAGAATTTGAACTAGATGATCTCTAAGCACCTTGCAGTTTGAAGATTTTATGTTGGGCTACTTTGCCAGGCCCTGGGACACATTCTAGCAGATTCAAAACTCTGTCTTTTGCCTCACAATATTTATTTGAAAGATAAAAGGCTCTGAAAGAAAATCTATAGGAATATAAATGAATCACAGTGTTAATGGACTGAATTATGTATAAAAGACAAAAGATGTTATTTTTTAAATAAAACTGACCAGGATATAGGTATAAGAAATTCTTATAAATAATGGATGATTGTCCAGAATACCTTTCCACTCCTCTCTACAAAAGATTTATACTACATACTTATTCAAATTACCCATCTGTCTGCTATTGGTATTAGCTAGGAATTTAATAGGAATGACTGTACCTATTTCTGGAGCACTCACCTCCCTAGGATTTCTACGCATTCTTTCATTCTTGAGAGGCACAGAGAGACCAAAATTGAGAATCTGATGTTTTTATAGAGCAAAACAACTAAAATGTCATACCTTTGACTCACACACCCACTGCTACCCCCAAGGAATTCAATAACAAAAAAGAAAGGTTCTATGTTAACTGATATATTTATGGCAGTACTTTTTTATAGTAACAAGGAACAGGAAACAAAGTAGATGCACATTAATTGGGGAAATGGCTAAACTAGTTGTTACATAAATGTAACTGAATATTACTCTGTTGGAAGAAATAATACAGAGAGACATGGGAAGACTGTTATGAACAGAAACAAAAATGAAATAAGTAGAACCATGAAATACTATACATAGTGATTACAACAATGGAAGAGGAATGAACAAGAACTAAACAATCAAAAAGGAAGGCTGTAAATTAGAATGATTGAACCTGGTCTAAAGGAAGAGATGTGAGAAGGTTCTTCCTCCACCCCACCCCACAATATATCTCCACTTTTTTTGCAGAGGTGGAGGATTATCTTTGGATATGGCAGGTATAGAACAACACAGAATAATGTCAAACTTTTTCAATGTGTTGCTTAGGTTAGATTTGTTGAACTAACTAATTGTGTCTGCCTCTCTGTCTTTCTCTGTCTCTCTGTGTGTCTCTCTGTCTCTGTCTCTCTCTCAAAAGAAGAATCTCTGAGAGGGGGAGTGGAGAAAGATATTTTGGGACCTATAGTTGATATAAAAACCGAAGACAGGAATAAAATGTATTTTGTGGGGAAAGAGTAACTGAACTCTGAATAATTGCAATAAACAATCTCAGTCCTGGAAGACAGATGAAGAAACTCACTTGCCAGAGTTACCGCCACACCATGGTGAGGCACTATACTTGAATGGAAGGTTTTTTTTTAATTACAACTATTTATCCAATTAAAAAAAAAACTTATAAAAAACTCTTTGTGTGATTTAAATAGACAGCAAACGTGTTTTTTTTTACTCAGGTATTCACTGAGGAAACCACTTGTATATAGAATTAAAATAAATTGATTCAATATAGATTTTTATTTCACAGGCCTTCTCAGTACCTCTGCTATTAAACTTAGAGGAGCACTCAACTTATTTATGCTGTGGATTCCATTGCTCATTTAATGGTATTACACGTTTAATTAAAAGATCTATCGACTTCCCTTATATCACCTCTGAGCACTGAAGTGGATCTGTATCTCAAGAGGACACAGCAAGCATTGTTAGGTGTTCTTAAGTCACAGCAGGACAGTCAAGTTATTATGGGTTCTAATTAGTTCTCCCACAAGCTATAACATACCTTATACCTGAATTCCAAAGGATTTTGACTTGGGTAATAAATATTGAGGACGAGAGAGACAGAGAGAGAGACAGAGAGAGACAGAGAGAGAGAGAAATAGAGAGAGAGAGAGGAACAGGGAGGGAGAGAGATGAGAGTTAAATAGCATACATATGTCATATATATGTGTGTATATATACATCTATGGGTGTGTATATATGTATATGTGTATGTGTATATATAATACACATCCCTTCTATTTTTTAAACAATCAGTCTTTAATGCTTTCTTCCTGAAATTTTCTCTTTATATCACATGACACTGTTGTCATAAATGGAGTAATTGTCTTCTCTATTCATTCACTTTCTGTATCCTCTTCATAAGCATCTTGCAAGGCTCAATTCTTAATCTTCTGTTATTTTCTTCATACTCACTTAAGGAAATCTGTTCCTATGCCTTCAGTTGCCATGGCTATGCAGGTGTTTACCAAATGCGTACCTCCAGTTCCAGTCTCTTGTCTTCTCTTTAGAGGTTGAGGTCTCCCTCCCTTTCCCTATAGCCTCATGGCAATCTACTTTAGCACTTTGTTCAATGTGTGAGCAGCAGTAAGTATTGCTGACTAATGACTGCCTTTCTATCAAGACCTTTGCTGATTCATGTAAATGAGGCACAGATACATCAATGGCAAAGAGGAATTCTGCAAGACTAGTAAGATTTTATGAAGAGAACCAAATGATCCATACACAATGTGACTGCAAACATTGGCATTCCTAAAGCTGTGAAGTTGATGAGCATACAGCCAGTTCATTTTTGTGTCCCAAGCCTAAAATTCAAAAATGTGGCAGCCTCATTTTCTTCTTTTCTTCCTTTGCATGAATACTTCTGAATAGCCACTTAAAACTTCATAAGCTTTTCCTCTACCCTCATTACATTTCAGTTTGATAAACCCTCAAACAGGTGTTTTTGTGCTCACTTTGAATATGCAGAAATTACAGCTTACTGAACAAGGCTAATGATTTGCCCAAGCTTCTAGAGCCAATGTCCGAGGAGGAGTTTCCTGGTGCAACTTGAGGATTTTGTGGTAAACATAACCTACTTTTTCTTTCTTCTAAATATGAGGAGTTTGTTTAGGAAAGAGCTAGATATGTAGATTTGGATAGATTTAAAGGTAAATAGGAAACAACCAAAAAGAACCTTAGTGTTCACTGAGTCCCATTCCTTTGTTTCATAGATGAGAGAAATGAGGCCAAGAAAGGGAAAGTGATTTGGCCAAGGTCACATAGCTAGTTAATGATGGAACTCTAACTATAATTACAGCAATGTGGCACAGTGGATGGAGCAATGGGTTTGGAGTCAGGAAGATCTGAGTTTAAATTCTGCCTCAGACACTTACCAGATGTGTGACTCTGAGCAAGTCACTTAACATTTCTCAGTTTTACTTACTTCTTCCGTAAAATAGGGACACTAACAGTATTCACTTCCCAAGGCAGTTGTGAGGGATCAAGTGAAATAATAATTGTAAAGCATTTAGCACAGTGTTCGGGACATAGTAAGTGCTAAATAAATATTAGCTATCATTATTGTTGTTGTTGTTACAACCCAAATCTCTTTTTTTTCCTGGTCTGATGTATTTTTGGGGGTTTTTTTTTCACTATGCACAATGCCATTCAAAGGGCAAAATGTCATTATCCAACCTGTAGTGGATATTATACCCACTAACACTCATGAAGCATTATCATTGAACAGCTTATATAGATCTCAAGGAGTACTGGACAGCTGGACTTCCCAGTGGTTAGAGCACCAGCCTGGAGGAAGATCTAAGTTCAAATCCTGCCGTAGACCTTAATTAGCTGCATGTCTATGGTCAAATCAAAACCTCTTTTAACATCAATTTCTTCATTTGTAAAATAGGGATAGTAGCACCTACTTCACAGGGCTGCTATGAGGATCAAATGAAATAATGTGTGTGTGTGCATGTGTGTGTGTTCTTTGCAAACCTTAAAGCACTATATAAATATTTCATTGGGTTATTATTACTCTATTTGGAAACTGTCTTTAAATGAGGGGGATGAGGGAAGGATGGCATTTATCTTAGAAGATCTCAATCCATGAAATCTTCTTATCCAGGTAAAAAACAACAATAGCATTGTATATGGCAGGTCCAGATAGATATGTGGCATTCACATAACTTACTCATATTTCATTAAATTCATTTTGCCGCAGCAGAAGCATCATCTTATTAGATTAAGTCATACAGAAAGGACTAGTGACAAAACACATTCACTGGAGACCACCTACCTTTTTATCACTTAGGCCAGTCACCTGGTCAACAAATTCTTCTTGAATCATGAAGGCAGCCAGGTTGGCAGTGTAACTGGCCAGGAATATGACCGCAAAGAAGGCCCAAACAGACACCATGATTTTGCTGGTGGTCCCTTTTGGGTTCTGAACAGGCACAGAATTATTGAAGACCAGGCCCCAGAGTAACCATACAGCTTTTCCAATAGTAAAAGAAGGCCCATGAGGAGCTGAAAATTATTTGGAAAAAGAAAATGCATCATGAGAATCTTTCAAAATTTTGTACGAAAATTATGAGTCAATTTTTCTGCTAAAGACAATACTATAATAACAAGTGACATTAAAACAAAGATTCTTCACCTAGATCTCACAAACTTGAAGAGAAGAAACAATTACATTTGCACAAATTTCTAACTGCAATTTAGCTTTCTTTCAATTATTAAAAAAAAAATTCTGAGTCCCATAAGCCTTATCAGACTGCTACAGATCTTCATCATACACTCACACACATACACACACACACACACACACACACACACACACACACACCCCAAACATAAGATTAAGAATCCTTGTATTAAAGGTTAACAATGCAGCCAGCATCTGGAATCCATCTACCAGTTTACTATAGTCCTTTTTTTGTGAAAGGCTCTGTGTTGGGTGCCTAGGAAGCAGGGTTTGGTGGGTGGGAGAATACAAAGGCATAGTTCTTGACCTTAAGAAACTAACAGACTGGTAGAAAAATTTGCTATAAACAAAAATGGCAATAATAATGAGTAAAATATGCGATCTCTGTAGAACAT